CAATCTTTTCTTTCAACCTCCCAGTCACTAACTTAAAATCTTAGAATACAGTTTACACTTCCTAGTATAAAAAGTAAAGTCTGTCATTGAGTCCCTGTAATTAGTCTTTGATGTTTACCTTATATTGCTCTTCAATCTTGTATGTCAAATATTCTGTTCAGTTCACGTGTTTTTGCAATAAATCTTGAAAGTCTGGGAATTCATTGAATGCCCCCCTTTTTTTCCATTCAACATTATGCTTGACTTTGCTGGGTATGATATTATAATTTTGGCCACAACTCCAGTTCTTTTGCTCTTCCATACACACTGTTCCAAGAATACTTTAAGTACAGCCACTGCTAGGTCGTGTGTGATTCTAATTGTGGCTCTGCCTATATTGAATGTTGTTTTTTTTTCTTGTTGACCATATTTTCTCCCTTCAGCTGGGAGTCTCAGAATCTAGCTATGATATTCCTGTAGGTCTTCCTCATAGAATCTCTTTCAGGAGGTGATTGGTGGATTTTTCCTATTTTTACTTTCCCCTCTTGTTTTAACGCTTCAGGACAATTTAACTATTTCTTGTATTATAGTATCAAGGTTCTTTTTCTGATTGTAGCTTTCAGGTAGTCTGATCATTGTTATGTTTTATCTTCTTGATCTGTTCTCCAGATCAGCTTTTTTTCCTTGTGAGATGTTTCACTTTCTCTTCTACTTTTTCATTATTGTTTTCTTTTGTTATTTCTTGCTCTCTTATAACTTCCCTGGCTTCCCCTTGCCCAGTTTTAATTTTCAAGCAGTTATTTTCTTCTTTTTTTCTTTTCTTTTTTTTTTAAGCAAGGCAATTGGGGTTAAATTGACTTGCCCAAGGTCACACAGCTAGAGTAAGTGTCAAGTGTCTGGTCTGACATCTGATTTAACTAGGTCCTCCTGACTCCAAGGCTGATGGCTCTATAGCCACTGCACCACCTAGCTGCCCCTATTTTCTTCCTTAAGATTTGGGATCTCCATATATAGTTGGTTGACTCTTTTTATAATCTTCTTGGGTTCTTTTGGATTGTTCTTTTCTTATTTTTCCTCAATCTCTCTCATTTTAATTTTTAAAGTCTTTTTTTAAGTTCTTCTATGAATTCTTTTTTTTTTGGCAGGTGATTATTTGACATTACTTTTTAGAGTAGGAAAGGCTTTTTTTAAAAGTTCAATATCCTTCTCTGCAGATGGACCCTGGTCTTCTCTACTCACATAATAACTTTCTATGGTTGGTTCTTTTTGCTGCTCATTTTTTTAAAAATATATAGCAAATTCTTGTTGTAATCACCTCTAGGCCTTGGATAAGGGGATGGTGCCTCTGGCCTCAAGTCCTCCTGCAGTTCTCCCCTCTGGCCTGGAACTGAAACCAAGATCTCTGCCCTCCTGTAAGTGTCCACAGACAGGGAGTCCCTAAAGTCCCAGAAGTGCAATGCTTCTGCACTTACCACACATGTGCTGGTTCCTTCTCACCCAGGGCTGTGTCTCATAGCACAGCTGGGCCTGACATCCCTTATCAGCAGAGTTCCCTCAATCTTCCCCACTCAGATGCCCAACTCCCCACATTGTCCAGAGGTGAAAATTCCTGGGGTGAGGCCAAGGCTGCCTCCCAACACAGCTAGCAGCAGGCTTGCTGCTTGCTATTTCAGCAGAACTAGCCTGTAGGTATTTACACTTCACAGATTTTCTTCCAATCTTCTTTGTTGTCTCAGGAAGGACTACTGTTCTGTCCCAACTGTTGTTTATTTTTACCACTCTAAGTTCACTCTGAGGACACTATTTTGTCTTTTTGTGGGGAAATCTGGAGAGCTTTTGAATTTTCTAACCTACTCTACCTTCTTCCAGAATCTTCCCCTCCCTGGTTTTTAATCATCTGTAAATTTGATTTAGATACTATGTATGAATCATAACCAGATACAGACCTCTTAGGCATTCCACCAAAGACCTCTTGACAAGTTGATGTCCAACCAGTAATTACTATTCTTTCTGTCTAATCACTCAACCGGTTTTAAATTCATCTTCCTGTTCTATCACCTACCCAGGTCTTAACCATCTTTTCTACAAGAATAGCATGCAAGATTTTCCAAAGCACTTTTATACAATCTTGACAAAGTTTTACCTTTATAATAGTTCCCTGATCTACATGTCTAGTAATCCTGCCAAAAAGGGGAATGAAATCAGTTTGCCATGACCTGTTCTTGATGGGGCCATGCTGGCTCTCTGTCATGACTACTTCCTTTTCTTTGGTGCTTATCAGCAATTTCCTTAATAATGCATTCCAGATTTAGGGTCAGAAATTAGAATCAACCTCCCTGACCTATACTTTGCAGTCCTCATTCTCTTCCCTTTTTTAATAATTGGGAAAACATGTATAGCTCTCCTTAACATTCTTCCAAAGATCAACCACAGTATTTCAGCAAAAAACATCTACCTGTTCTTTCTGTGCTCAAGGCATGATTTATTTGCACCACATGACCTGAACTTTTTAGAGCTAGATAACTCAGTGGATAACATGGAAATTAGTCAGGAAGATATGAATTCAAATCTTGCCTTACAAACTCACTTGCTGTGGCCCTAAGCCAGTCAATTAACTTTCTCTGTCTCAGTTCTTTCATCTGTAAAACTAGAATATGAATATATAGCTCACTAGGTTGTTGTGAAGCTCAAAGGAGTTAACATGTATAAAGAAGAGCTTTGCAAATCTTAAAGCACTATATAAAATTAGCTATTATTTACTAGGTGCTCTTATCATTTATTTACTTATCTTGGGTATCATCTCCCAATAAGCTATTCTTTTCTGTCCTTTACAGCACAAAAATAATTCTCTTTGGCAAACAGGCAAAAGAAAAAGTTGAGCAGCTCTGCCTTCTCTCCACTCTTAATCATATTCTCATCCACCCCAAGCAGTAATCACCTCCCTTCCTTGAACATTCTCCTCCCTATTACAACTGCAGAACAACTCAAACTTTATTAACCTAAACTATCTCACCATCTCATACACAAACATTTATTATGTACTGTCCATTCCATCTTTGCAATCTCCCTCAAATTCAATCTGTGCTCTATTCTCACTAAAACCACCTTAGCAGTGGTTAGCATTGCCACCTTCCTGGATTACTGCATTATTATTCTAATGTGTCTTATTGCTTCAACTCTGACAGCCACTGTGGTATAATGAATGGTTTATTTGATGTGGGATGCAAAAAACCAAGATTCAAATCTTGCTGATATTTTATAGCGCTTCAATAATGGGAAAACCAACTCAGTGGGCTTCAAGTTTTCTAATCTATTATATGGGCACATGAGTATCTATCTTGAGACTCAAATGAGAAAATGTGTGTAAAAGTTTGGGCAACTTTTAAAATATTGTATAGTGGTGAAATCTGAATGCATTTTGAAGGATTTTTTTTGCTTTATTTTTATTGATTTAATTTGTGTTTTCTTTTGCAACATGGCTAATATAGAAATATGTTTTCCATAATCTCACATGTATAATTAAAACAAAATTGATTACCTTCTCAAGGAAGGGAAAGGGGTGGGAAGGAGACCATTTAAAACTCATTTTTATTTTAAATTCAGTCTTAATTTTTTCTACATGCAATTGGGAAAATTTAATGAAATAAAAAAATTTAAATTAAAATAATGCTATCTAAACATAAGCTAGCATTGATTCTTTCCCTCCCAACTCACTTCGAATCCATCCTTTGCATGGTTCTCAAAATAATCTTTCCTTATGCACAGACCTGGCTGGGTTATTTTTCTTCTAAATAAAAAAAAATCTTCAGTGACCCTCTACTGCTGACCAAAGAAAATTTCAGTTTGGTTCAACAAATCCTTATTATTCACTTATTGCATGCAAGTTACTGTATTAGGACAAAAAATGAAAATCCCTGCACTCCAGGTATTTGAATTCTACTGGAGGAAGATGACACAATCTCAAATAAGAAAGCTGAAGATTATATAAACTAATTTTAAAAATAACTTCAAGAGGAAGAGAGAAATAAAGATCTAACCTCCCTCTCCCCTTTTAAAGCATGGTAGGCTTTTCATAGTGCTTTGTATTTTCAGCCTTATATCATAGAAGATGCTTTTCTTATGCTCTAGTGAAACTGGATTATTCTTTTACCCTGGTATCTGCCCTGTACTTTCCAGCCTTCCTGCTTTTGCTTAATTGTTCCCTATGACTAAATGATCCTTCCATCTCCTTGTTACTTATTGAATTCCTACCCATCCTTTAACAACTCAGATGTCACTTTCTTCATGAAGCCTTCTGGGAGCTCCAATTTGTAACATCTTCCCCTTTTTCCCAATGATCATAAGGACTAGCTGTGTTTGGCCACAGAAATCAAAATAAAAGCAACAGAGAAGGGAAAGGAGGAGGAAAAAAATGGAGAGAAGTTGCCAAGAAGCTGCCTTGTCTTAATCCACTGAAAAAAATGTATAAGAGATTAGAGCTCCTCAAAAGTGGACAAAAGCTCCTCCCTTGGGAACTCATTTTCCTTCACAGGTGGACTTCTAAGGAAGCATGGATAACCACTTGTCAGAGATATTAATAGGATTATATATCAAGAACTGGAAGGGACCACAGAGTCCACTTCATTTAACCCCTCACTTTACAGATAAGGAAACTTAGGCCCAGGAGGGTTGTCTAAGGTCTCCCAGGTAAAGTCAGTGGACTCCTGCTCAAGTAGCATTTGTAATGTCCTTTCCAAATTTGATACACTGCTCCCTAGGATTGAGAAATACATAGCATATGGAAGGAAGGAAAGAAGGAAGAGAGAGACAGAAAGAGAGAAACACAGAGAGAGAAAGAGACAGAGAGACACAGAGAGAGAGAGAGAGACAGAGAGACAGAAAGAGACAGAGAGACAGAGAGGGACAGAGAGACAGACAGAGAGAGAGAGAGAGAGAGAAATTGAGAGAAAGGAAGAGACTCAGAAAAAGACAGAGAGAGAGAATCAGTGCTCCACTTGACCTAAAAATCTTTCTTCCAACAGATATGCTAGCTTTATCATGTCACTGGGAACTGCTGCTATGTTGATCTCAGGGCTCGTTTCTACCTTCGTTACTGGGTACTTCATCAACCAGGTAAAGCACCTACACTTAAAAAGGATTTGAACTCTGTGTAGAATAAGCACTGGATGCAGATAAACACAGAGGAGGAAGACATAATGAACCCAAAGGGCTATAGAGTGTGAAGCAGGAACAAACCTTAGAGATTAGCTATTTTAACCCCTTTATTAACACAGGAAGAAAGTGAGATTCCATGTGTTTAAGTGACCCACACAAGTAATAAGCAGTGGAGTCCAAACTTCAGGCCCTTCCCACCAGCCATGCTGTGATCTGGGATTGAGGATGGAAGGCCACAGTTTAGGAGAAAACTCTCAGGGGGAGTCCCAGAAACAGGAAAGTGAAGAGGTCATTCCTTAGGCCAGGACTCCAAGTTAGATTTCAGTGAGGAGGGAGAATAGGAACCACACAGCCATAGGTCTCTTTATTGGGTGCCCAGGAATGGATACTCTGCTTTCTGAGCCTATATCTCCCTGTTACAATCTATATAGACAGTTCTCACTAGGTGCCAACAGGCTCGGTTCTGTGGAGGACTTCTGCTCTATCTCTTACCTCATATTAAAGGTAGAAGGCTCAAAACTCCTACAGCCTGACACCACTCAACTGGGCAACTTGTAGGAAGGAAAGCCAAGTGACAGGAGGCCACATGGAGGGGAGTGGATTCAGGCAAGTACAGAAAGAGTAGGAGAGACCATAGCTAAAAAAACAAGAGAACCAGGACCCACCACCTTCTCCAGCCCCACCTCCCCCCAACACAAACACACTCATATGTATTCACCTGAAGCAATATGAGGGGCTGCAGTCTATTTCCAGGAATCCTGAAAGTTCATATTAAAATTCCTCAATAAGAACAATTTATCTTTGTACAATGATGTTTATGAGTATGTATGAACCTGTAATGTCATCAATGTAGGGAAATCCTTGTGAAGACACTCCCTGCTCTGCAGCTACAGTCTCAGAGTTACCTCAGTCACTGAGGACTTAAGTGATTTCACCAGGGTCCCACACCTTAGTATGAGGCCAAAGAGAGACCTGAACCCAAACCAGTGCTTCACCACTGCTTCTCCAATGGAGGATTAAAGTTTACAAATCACTCTCCTCACAACCAGCCTATGAAGCAAGTTATGCAAAGCTATTATTGCCATATCTTTATAGATAAGGACATGCAGGCTTTGACCAAACAGGTGCTCCATGGTTACAAGATGAGTGTCAGAGTCAGCATGTATACAACATTTCCTCATTCCAAATCCAAGACTCTGTCCACTGCATCTCAGTGCTTCCCGAACCCTTTGCTTCATCATGTTTTGAAGCTTCATTTAATTGACACTAACTCAATGAAAAGCACTTTAATTAAAACCAAAAATGATAATCTCATAGAAGGCCCTCCCTGACATGAAGAATTTCATGTGTTTTCTGAGAAGATTGAGGAAAGTAGAAACTTTTTTGGACCAATATTAAATCTTGAACTGACAATTTTTGTGCCCATAGGATAATACTACTGGCTGGAAGAATGTTTTCTTTCTATCATCTGCTATTAACGTATTAGGAATGATTTTCTACCTCGTCTTTGGCCAGACAGACATCCAGGATTGGGCCAAAGAGCAGAGACTCACCCGCTTCTGAGGGGCCACGGGAAATGAACTGAAAATTAGTTCTACTGAAAACATCCTTAAAGATTTTTAAGGTCATCCTTGACTTCTCAACTCTCAGGCAATATACACCATTGTCAAGCTTGTCTTTTTAATATACACAACATCTCTTATGTGTGTCTGCTCTTCTCCACTCAGCCACCACCCTAGTTGAGGCCCTCATCACCCTTGCTTAATCTATTGGAATGACCTTTTGCATCTCCCTGTTTCAACTCTTCCCCACTCTGATGCATTCTCCACACAGCTGACAAAATTATTTTCCCAAAGCCCAAAGCGGATCATGGCACTCACCTCTAATCAACAAATTCCACTGTCTCCCAATTGCCTCTAGAATAAAATACAAATGACTATATTTGAAATTTAAAGCATTTCAAAGCATACCCCTTCCTACCTTTGTGGTCTTCTTATATTTTATGCCTTTCCTCACATTCCACATTCTGGACCTGCTGCTTTGCCTTCTCATTATTCTGCACATATAACATTTTCATCTCTACTCTCCATGACTGCGCACTCACTCGCATCCTTACCTGGAATATATTCCCTGCACACCTCTGCCTCTTGGAATCTTATATTTTCTTCAAGATTAAGCTCAAGTGCCATGAATATTTTACTGGTCCCCACCCCAGCTGCTAGGGGACACCCTTCCAAAACATACCAATAACATATTCATTTTGTATTGAGAAAATTAAAATTATTTTGTGTCACTTAATAACTAATTCTCTTCTCTAACTGACCCTATTTTATATTTCTTCCCCATTTTGTATAATTGTTCCAGTCACATTTCTCCATCCTTGAGTTAAGCTCAGGAATACAGTTTTCTCTCTGAGTCAATTTAAAGGTATAGTTAAAAGGCAATGTTGTTATCACTCTGACCATTACCTCCTGGAACATCTGCTTGTCATCTATAAGTCCCAACCAGCTCAACCTGGTACCATCCCCAAAAATGTTTTCATCCTTGCCTGCAGTTAGAGGTGATTGGATATCCTCCAATAGGACCCCAAGGCCAGTGGTGCTGAACCCCTAGCAAATATTACAAAAGGTAGATGAGTGGCATGAAACAATTATCAGAGAGGGCCAAAGCACTTTTCTTAGTATAGCCAATTGTGGTCTTCCTCAAATAACCTGACCCCTCTTTTCCTGTATTTCAATAAAGAGGATCTCTTCTTCTCATTGGGGTCACTGGCCTTGCTAAGGTTGCCAGTCTGACCCACTTTGTTAACAATTATACACATCACTGTTAATAAATTGATTCTGCTCAAAATCTGCACCTCAGTTTTCAGTTCAGTTATTTCAATCATGTCAGACTCGTTGTAACCATATTTGGAGGTTCCTTGGCAAAGATATTGGAGTGGATTGTCCTTTCCTTCTCCAGCTTATTTTACAGATGAGGAAATTGAGGCAAACAGGGTTAGGTGACTTGCCCAGGATCATACAGCTGCTTGCTACCTAGCTGCCAGTTCCTCACTTGATCTTTATTGAATTTACTCTAAACAGTATACATTCTGTATATAATCATGAGTATATGGTATCTCATTCATTAGGATATAAGTTCCTTGAGGGCAGGCAGTGTCTCATTCTTGTCTTCATATCCTCACCATTTAGTCTAGTGCATCCCACAGAGTAGCACAATTAATCCACGCTTGTTCATTGGTTTTAATCTTTTATTCCCTGACCTGCTGGCACCTTAGCTATGAGTCTTGGTTCTGGATCCAGCCCTTTTCTTTACAGATGTGGTCAACCTAAGCAGAGGGTACTCTGATGATTCTGTACATGTTTTACTATAGCCAGATGTCCCAACGAGATGAACAAACAAGTATCACCAAATTGCAAAATATTATACAATGAACCATGGTGATCATTTAGTCCAACCCTTGCATGCAATGGAATACCCAAGGAATCAGGTCGACAGAGTAGCAGAAAACAATGTAAAGAGGAGCTTTCTCCCCCACTCCCAAACAGATCTAGAAAACACATCAGACATCATACTGATGGAGAAATCAAAAAAAGAAAAAAAAGAAAGAAAGTCACAGTACACCATTTTTCCAGCCCAGTTCATCACGGGGAGAAAAGGAGTTCTTTGGACACTGGAGGTGAACTCAGGATCAGCACCTTTCTGGACAGTATGCCAGCACCCAGAGCAAAGTGAAGAACTGGGACAAGAAGATACAAGGTATCCCCAGACCTATACAAAAGCACCAAGATGCTAGGACAGTTGAAAAGTGGCAGCTTTCTTGCCCACTACCTAGTTCCCAGTGACAGTTGCAGAGCAGACTAGGAGAGGACCTGCCCCAACCCACCCCACCCAAAGTAGTCTGAAGGATGCAGAAGAGTAACCAGGCCATTCCAGACTAAAGGGAAACCTGCAATTCTGTCCTTCTGAACCAGCAGAGATTCCCAGGTGGCTGACAGTAGCTGAGTCCAGCACCAGCCTCCTTTTTCTCAGACCCGAACCTAGGTCAGAAGTTTGCAGAGCTCAGAGCAGAGCAGTAGAAATCAGGCTTTGTCCTGAATCAGACCAATATGGAAGCTCTGAAAGCTTGCTGGTCCCCAGCCTGAGCTATCCCTGAGATCCTAGAACAATGCAACACATGACCCCCAAGAAAGCAGCAAAAGAACCAGCCAGACATTACTTACAGAGACTACCCATAATATGAAGTCTGAAGTCAGAAGTAGGCTGGAAGAATGAGCAAACAAACAAAAAAGAATTCCACCACATACAGTGTTTATGGTGATAAGAATGCTCAAGATACAAATGCAAAGAATGATATCAAAACATCTACAAGCAAAGGTTCTGTGAAAAATAGAGCTTGAATAGAGTCTATACCAGATTTCACTCTTTCTTGGGGAGAGGGGAGGAGAAAGAGGGCAAGGAAATTTAAAACTCAAAATCTTATATAAGTGAATGCTGAAAACTAAAAATAAATCAATTGTTACAAGAAAACAATAGAATAAAAGTACAGCAGGGGCATAAATTCAGCTAGAACTCCTGAAAGAGATAAGTAAGAGTTTGTTTTATTTTTCAAGAGTTGAGGGAACTTAGGTGGTGCCATAGATAAAGCACTGGCCCTGGAGTCAGGAGAGCCTGAGTTCAAATCCAGCATCAGACAGTTGACCGTAGCTGTGTTGCATGACCCTGGCCAAGTCACTTAACCCCAATTGCCTCATAAAAAAAACCTTAGAATCCAGACTTCTTTTATGGGGCAGCTAGGTGACACAGTAGATAGATCTCTGGCCTTGGAGTTAGGAGGACCTGAGTTCAAATCTGGCCTTAGACACTTGAAACTGACTAGCTGTGTGACCCTGGGAGAGTTACTTAACCCTCATTGCCTCACCAAAAAGCAAAAAAAAAAAAAGACTTGAAAATGTTCTTGCCAATGAAATAAGTATGTTAGAGAGGAAAATGGGGGAAGAAATGAAAGCTATGGAAGAAAGAATTGCAAAGGGAAGTAAGAGCTTGACACAAGAGGTGCACAACTTTACCCAAGCAACAAACTCCCTGCAAATTAGAATGGAACAAATAGAAGTCAATGACACCATAAGACAACAAGAAACATTAAAACCTTAAAGTGCTAAATAAATGCTGATTATCATCATTATTATTATTATTGATTATTCCTGGAAATGTTGTTTCTCTAATGGAGCCCAAGGTTCTATTTGCCTTTTGGGATTCCCTTAAACACTGTTCACTCATATGGAGTTTTGCAGTCCCTTTGATCTTATTCACATACGATATTAAGCCCTAAATATGACTCTCAAGATTCTTCCTACAATGCACTAACTGGGCAGCTGCTCCTGAAATCTAACCATTAGAGACAGTAATGAATTCATGCATCTTGTGCTTCTTCCAGATTTATGATTAATGAAAATGCTTTCCCATTTTAAGCTTTTAAAAGGAGAAATTCAGTTCTCACCAAAACTTCTTAAATAGGCTGATATATTTGTATTCACTTTCTAGTGATGTTGCTCTAATCTGCCTCTTCTAAGTTTTTGAAACTGTGAGAAAAAATTGTAGGTGACCCATATAAGTAAAAGGAAAATGTTGATAACTTTAGAGAGGGAACCTTCAGTTCAGTGGTAGCATTAGGAATCAGATTCAAAGGAGTGGAGAAGAGAGTAGGAAAAGAGGGAATAGATACAGTGAGTATAAATAACTTTCTCTGGTAGTTTTGCAAAAAAAGACATACAGAATGATAGCTTGGGGGGATGGTAAGATAAAGTGAATGAAGGGGGAGGGGGAGGACTTTAACAGGTGGCAAAGGAGTCAATGAATAATAATTTTTAAAAAAAGATTGATGGTTAGATAGTAGGAATGACTGATGGGGCAAAGTCCTGGAAGAAATAGTACAGAATGGATGAATGTCACCTTGGGGTTTTATTAGTCTTCTCTCCCACTGAGCAGTAAATGATCTCTAAATGTGATAAGTAAGGAGTCACTCAAGGGAATAAAAGACAACCCATTTACAAAATTCACATTCTGCTATGGTGGTGGTGCCTGAGTCACATTCAACTCTGTGACTCATTTGTGGTTTTCTTGGCACATGCTAGAGTGGTTTTCCATTTTCTTCTCCAGTTCATTTTACAAATCAGGACACTGAAGCAGAGTTAAATGACTAGTTCAGGGTCACACAGCTAATGACTAAGGCTGGATTTCAACTCAAGTCGTTCTCACTCCAGACTTTGTGCTCCATCCACTGTGCTGCCTAGTTGCCCAGAAATGTAATGGAAAATAGTAGTACTAATTTTACATAAATTTGATATAGCAAAGATGTCTTAAGATGCCGTCATCTGTGAAAAGCAGAGTTCTGAGATCTTGCTACCCATGCTAATAGTTTAAAGTGATTAAGTTAAAGTGATTAATACTATTGGAATCTTGCAATATACTGACAATGGGGCAAAACTTCAATATTTCTCCATCAATTTCCAGATCTAATCAGTTGCCAACAGTTATTGACTCTACCTCCATATTATTCACATCACACTGAGGTGCTATTCCATAGGATTCAGATTCTCATTTCTAATTTCAATATAACAAGAAAACTAAAATCTGTTTGATTATCAGTAGACACACAAACACATGCTCACACACACACACACACACACACACACACATACACACCAGTCCACTTGTAATCTTCTGAATAATCCACCATATACGTGAAAATCATTGCCAATATTAACATCTCTCCACTAGTCTTCTCCATCTTTTTCTCAAAAGTATTATTAAAAACAGAACAAAACAAAACAAAAAGGGGCAGCTAGGTTGTACAGTAGATAGAGGACTGTCCCTGGAGTCAGGAGGACCTGAGTTCAAATCCAGCCTTAGACACTTGAAACTTACTAGCTGTGTGACCCTGGGCAAGTCACTTTACCCCAATTGCCTCACCAAAAAAAAAATAGAAAAGAAAAAGCAAATCAAAGGTATTGTTTTCCAATTCTTCATTCTTTGTTTTTGTGGCTTTTCTTTGAATCCTCCTTAACTTTTGCTTGTTTCTCCTAATTTATAGAAACTCATAGCAGACATATATTCTAGAAAGAATGGGATAAATTGATCTTACCTAATTCAAAGGTCTAAAAGTTTAATCTGGGTGCACTAGGTCACTTCGAACTCACAAGACCTCTTGAGGGCAGAAGTGACCTGTCATTGACAATCAGACTCATAAAGTGACTCAGACAATGAGACATCAGACTCATAAGGATTCATAACCCATAAATATAAGAAGCATCTTAAAAAACTTAGCTGAAGAGGGAAGCAATAGTATCAAAGTGTTGGGTCTACAAGATGGGTAAGAACATAGCTGGGACAGAAACCACGAGTTAAGGAATGAGATAAGGTAGGTATTTTCAGTATAAAACCAACACACCCAGGGAGGACTAAGTGGGGATCAAGAGTCAACTTTGGCTTTTGATAAAAGATCTGGGTAGAGCCAAACTCTGCCAAAGTGAAAAAATAAGGGCAACAAACAAGACACACTACCTAGCTTCTGAAAGAAATGATCTCTTTTTAAGAATTGCAGTGGGGCTGGAGAAGAATGTAATGGCAGCTCTGTCTCTATTTAGAAAGGCCAGAACTGTGAGCTCCTCCAACCAGTGGGCACAAGGTTGCCCACTGACCACCCCAGCTCCTTTCTATCTTAAGGTTTTTAACTTGCCATTTCAAAGTTCAACATGAATACAGCTGTCTTCTTTGACAATGGCTTCAGAATGTACAAAGCTGAAAGTTGGCTTTGCTGGAGATAATGCCTCTGGGGCTTTTGACCCTGCCATCAT